CTTGGGGTCAGATGAGCTTTTGGGGGGCTACAGTAATTACAAGCTTAGCTAGCGTCATACCCGTAGTAGGAGATACCATAGTGACTTGGCTTTGGGGTGGTTTCTCCGTGGACAATGCCACCTTAAATCATTTTTTAGTCTTCATCATTTACTCCCCTTTCTTTTAGTAGGCGCCAGTCTTCTTCATCTGGCCGCATTGCATCAATATGGATCAAATAATCCATTGGGTGTACACTCAGAGATGGATAAAATTGCTTCTTACCCTTATTTTTATGTAAAGGATCTAGTAGGTTGGGTAGCTTTTGCTATCTTTTCTTCCATTTTTATTTTTTATGCTCCTAATGTTTTGGGGCATCCCGACAATTATATACCTGCTAATCCGATGCACACCCCGCCTCAGTGGAATGAGAAGGAAGATATGAAAAAGAAGTAACGATCGATTCCTGATAAATCGATTTGATTGATATATTTCCTGATTACATTCCTCACACACATCCTGATTTATAGCCTTTGTAGTTGGAAACCTTATCGCAAAATTTTGAATGCGATTCTTGCTACAAATACGTTTAGAAATGGGTACAGAGAGTTTAAGAGGGATTTGAAATTGGAAGATAGTTGGAGTAGGACACGTGTATAGAAGATAGCTGGGAGTAGGAAACGTGGCAGGTAAATAATGTGACATATGCCAGTTTCAGATTAAAACTATTTATTTATTAGAAAGGAAGAGGAGATTGGTTAAATTTAGGTTCATCCATTTAAAATAAAAATAAATAAATAAATAAATTAAAGATTAATCCACTTAAATTAGTTATGGACATAAATAAAATTTCAAAATATAACAAAAGCACAATCTCAATTCACATATACAAAGAAATTATTTAAATAACATTAAAGACATATAATTTCTAAGTGATTTTGGAGAGTGACTACTATTGTCGATGCCAAGAAAAAAAAATTGGAAATAGGATTCTACTTTTTTAAAAAATAAATAGTAATACGAACATTGCAATCTATAAACTAATACTTAGATTAATACATGATAATATTTAAATAATTATTAAATTAAAGATAAATTAAAGTTAAATGAGTTGGTGGGTTGAAAACGGATTGATAATTTTTACCGGACCCACCTATTTAATTAAATTTGTTAGGCGGATTGACCCATTTAACTTAAATAGGTTGAAAATCTCAACCCAACCAATTTTGGGTTGGGTTTGAGGTTAGGTTGGTAGGTTAAATCGATTTTTGTCCGCTCTACACAAAGAGAAGAGATCGTTTGACTACGCAAAAATGCCCTCTTCGACCTAAAAACTATACCCGGAAATATAAGGGATGGATTCACACAATTTTTATAAAATACTCATTAAAAAAAAAAACTAAAAATTTCGCACAACTCACATCTCGTTTCTCCGACCATAACACCCCTTTGGTATGGATTTTTTTTCTTCTTTTTTGCTCCTGTTTTGTGTTTGGTTTCCAACTCATTATCTCATTCAATCTAAAGTGAAAAAAAAATGTTTATTTTTTACGCTCAAGTTCAAAGAAGTTGTATACGATGATTGAAGATCGAAACAATGTTGTAAGTGATGTATTACCCAGCTTTTTATCATTTACCCTCCGTTTTACTAGTTATGTGCATGTTTTCTTACCGTTTTTTTTTTTCGAAAATCCAAAGAATTGGGATAATATGAAGGATGAAAGTGTAGATGACATGGCTATCTGCGGTGGTACAGATCTGTAAATTGTGCATTCAAACTTGTACGACCACATATGACTATGCCAACTTCAGTTTCATTCTTCATATTCTTTGATTTTTTGGTTGTTCTTGTTGCTTATCCGGGTTTTTCATTGTTATGTGTTATCCCCTAACATGTACTAGTAGCTTGTATGCTTTTAGGCTATAATACCGAAAAGGTGATGAACAAATTTGAAGATTAGCTTAGGAAACTAAAGATGAGGCTAAGAATTCTGTAGTTTCGTTCTTCATATGAACAATTTTTTTACCAATTAATTTGTCTTGAATTTCCAGCATGCGAACAAAACATTACATGCAAGTGTAATAATTGAAGCCTTGCGTCATAAACATCATTAACTACTGTTTGGGATGATTGCATTCAGGCAATGGTTGAAAATATTACAGTTGACAGATGATTCATTACTTTTGCATGGTTTTTATAGTACTTATATTTTTATTATTGACTTATATGATTTTAAAGTTTCATTATAATATAATATGTGATATTATCGACATAAAGTTTGTTATGTAATTACTAGTTACTTCTTAAAATGAAAATCATAACTGAATCAAAATGTCTCAAAATGGAAGGATGTGATCTTCTCAAAATGGAAATCTTTTCAGAAGCTTCTCAAAGAACGAAAGTTTTTGATCAACAACTCCAAATTTATTGTTGATCATAACGTGTGCTGTCACACTCTACCAATAATTGGATGGAGTGTGAGAACACGTAATTTTTCAATCAACCTCTAAAATAGTGGGTTTTAGAGGCCTTCTCATTTGGCCGTTATACTTGGTGTTAAAATTGAACCAACACAAAAATGGGGCTAAATTTGAAGGTTGGTTGGAGTATTTTTGCCCTCCAAAACACAAAAATAGTGTAATATAGTGGATGATTGGAGTTGGCCTTAGAGCAGCCGGTTTTTTTATTAGGTATTTTGGTTAATCAGGAAAAGATTAGGATTTAGGTGAATCACATAAAATTTTCAAAAAACATTTGCATGAATTTTGTCTCCTTAAAATTCCAGACCGGTTTCGGTTTTTTAGCCGGTTTTTTGTGGACCCAAACCGGTTTTAAAACCGGACCGGTTTGCTATAATTCAAGAACCGTTAATCGAACTGTTGTATTAAATTGGGTCCGGTTCCGATTTCCGTGGTTCTAAAACTCACCATTACTTTTAAGTTACCAACTACCAGCTAGCTTTTCAGCTCGTCTGCCAAACATAACATTGATCTTGTCTGGAATGGCCATTCCAAACAAATTGGTTACTTTTCAATAAAATAATAGAAATTCCAAATATAGTCTAATCCCTTAAGAAAATACCAAAAAAAAAAAAAAAAAAAAACTCAAATTACAAATATAGCCATGAAAATTCCATCAGCAAACGTATAAGTTGCTAAAACACAGTCATACTTTAGCGACTTGTATGCTCGCCGGTGGTTTTTTTTAATTTTTTTTTATTTTTTCCATATAAATACCTCCGTCTCTGACTAAAATAAGAGATGAACTAAGTTCATTTGCGATTTCCTCTTATCCCACCTACGATTTTGCGTTTTTTTTAATTCTTTATTTTTATTTTTATTTTTATTTTGACTACGAAATTGATATGGTTTCTAAAGTGATAATTTTTTGCAAAACTTTATGTATAATAAGGTTGTTTCGTAGTCGAACGCTATCAATTTCGTAGTCAAAATAAAAAAATAATAATAAATAAATAAATAAATACGCAAAATCACAGGTGGGATAAGAGAAAATCGCAGATGAAGATTTTAGTCAGAAATTGGGGTATTTATATGGTAAAAATTAAAAAAAAAAACCATCTGCAAATGTACAAGTCGCTTTTCGCAGACGGAATGCTAAAATCGCGGATGGACTTAATCCATCGGCAAATTTCATGGCTATATTTGTAATTTGAGTTTTTTTTTTGGCCTAATTACTAATCTTGCCAAATTAATGGGATAATTATCAATTTTTAGCCAAAAATTAGCAAATGGCCAAAAATAGCCCACGAAACCGTAGGTTTCGAGATTCGCTTACTGTTTCGCCATTTCGTCAACTGTTTTGCGTTTTGTATAATTTTTTTTTTTTCATTTTTGACATTCAAAACCGTAGGTTTTTTAAAACCTACGGTTTCCCAAACCGTAGTCTATGGTTTTTTTTTTTTTTTTTTGGGTTTTATCTACTATTTTGTCCAAAAAAACTACGGTTTTAATTTTTTATTTTTTTATATATATTTTTATTTTTTTGTAATATAGAGTATAAAAAAAATCATAAGATACATACAAGGGGATACAAATGTTTATTGGCTATTAAATTTTTTTTAATAAAAAAAATTTTTTGAAAAAAAAAAAAACCCCGGTTTTTTTGTGAAACCTACGATGTACAAGTGTTTACTGCACAAATTGTGCAGTAAATACTTGTACACCGTAGGTTTCTAAAAAACCTACGGTTTCCCTTTTTTTTTTAAAAAAAAAAAAAAAAATTATACCACAACAAAATACATCCAATTCCTATTCTATTGATATCATTTTTAAAAAAACGAAAAAAAAACGTCCGTACGGTTTAATATGAAACCTACGGTGTACAAGTCGACACTGCACAAACAGTGCATTGGGCACTTGTACACCGTAGGTGTCATATGAAACCTACGGTTTTATATATATTTTTTTCAATTTTTTTCAAAAAAAAAATTATCTCCATAAACAAAACCTACTCCTAATCACAAACACGATAAAATTTTTAAGAAAAGTAGACAAACATGGTTGTTCTTCGGATGTTCCATTGAGACTTGAGAGAAAAACGTAGTCAAACAAAAGAAAACAATAGGAAAATGACCAAATCTGAAATTTTTTCTATTATATACTTTGGGCTAATGGGCCACGAAAAAGTAAACGGTCCCTTGAAACAGCAACCCATTAGGGGAAAAGAGTAGTCAACGGGCGTTGACCGTAGTCATCATCCGTAGTCAACTAAAAGTTGACTGGGCTATTTTTGGCTAAGTGGGTTTTTTTGGCTATTTTTTGATAAATAATTAGGAAAAATAGCTAGTTTTGTATTTTTCCCTTTTTTTTTTTTTTGCTATTTTCCACAATATAATTAAGGGATTAGGCTATATTTGTAATTTTTTCATATAAGTCCGTTATTTTTGTTAAACTGAGTTACTTAATTTCCCTTATATAAATTACTTCAACTACTTTTAATTAGTAATGATCATCACCAAAATCAACACATGACATATATATTCATTATATAGACAATAAACAGTACACTAATTGTTTTGTGGAAAAAACCTAAAAACATATCTTATCTTATACACTTCATCATCGAAACTTAAAATTTATAAGCATTTTATTTAAGACAATTAACTAATCTTCATCGCCTGCTGACATTAACCACTGAATATAATCAGACCCTTGAATGCAATCAGACTCATTAATTGGAAGAACTCTTTTCCTCATCAGAGCATCAATCACACCAGGCAATTTCCTCTTCACACCACCCCTTTCCCTTGATCTAAACTCATCATCACCTTCAACAAAATCCCCCTAAAAACACAACACAAACATCAAAACACAATTCAACTAATTATAAATTATTAATCACATCACATAAAAAAAAAATCATCTTCTTACCATAGTGTAAACATGGCTTCCGGATTTCTCATGATTATCTCTCACGTGCTTAAAAGCAAACCTCATCCCACATCCCGAAACACTGCACACAAATGGCTTCTCTTGATGATGAGCAGCTTTTACATGTACTGCAAGATTTGACCTCTGCAAATTTCATAATCATTACAACTTATAATTCATTTAATATTTTAAATGTATAAAAGGGTAAACTTGGGAATGAAATGGTTATTACTTTTGAGAATGTATGATCACATCCATCAAAGCTGCATTTGATCCTCTCTTTCTCTTCAGATACAACTTTTTCATGTGTTCGAAGGTGTCGTTTGATGTTTTTCTTTAAGTGTTTGCTACCACAGATTTCACAGTTGATATGTTGATGACATGATTGAATGTGAGCCTTTAAACACTGTTCGTTTGTGAAATACTTCATGCATTCTCCACATAATGCTTCCACTGTGTCCAACTTAACTGAAATAATCAACAAAATTTAGTTAAAATCCAAAAAAAGTTTATAAAGATTTGACAAGAAAGATTAGAAGGTGTTTAATTACCATGAGATTCTTCATGTTTTTGTAATCTTGATGCATATTGGAAAACTTTTCCACATCCAGGTTCTGGACAAGTGTAAGTAGTCTTTTGTTCTTGTGTGTCTTCAGAGTCTGAGTCATCATCATGGATTTCTTTGATGTGTCTTGTTAAGTTCCCTTGGATTGAGAATTTGCTCTTGCAGTTTTTGATTGTACATTCAAAGATTTTACCCTGGTGTTGGATTAGGTGGCGATTTAGGTGGTCTTTTCTTCTGTAACTGTGGTTGCAGTCTTCCATTGGACAAAAGAAAGGTCTCTGTAAAAAGATGAAGATTAATTCATGAGAAATTTTGTTTGTGTTGTTGTGGTTGAAAGTTTTGGGAATAATGAAATGGAAGAATCTTGGAACCTTATTGATGGCGTGATTGAGGGTCGCTTGATGGAGCTTCTCAGGAGGTCGCCCAACCTGATACTATTCCAATCAAGGTCTCGCATTTTGGAGTTCTTCATGGGATCCAATGCTTTCACACAAACAAAATCCATTTTGTGTTCATATAATTTTGAATACCTAGAATAACTTTATACCCTGCATAAGTGTGGATAGTGTAATAGATTAATGATCTAAGAACTATATCATTTGAAATCCTTAGGAAACGATTATACGATATAGATCAAATCCGAGAGCGATCCATTCATTTACAGTAGTATGAAGTTAAGATCAGACTTCAATGTACTGACGTTTCAAGAATACCTCGAGTGAATGGCTTTGCATATGCTGCTTCAAGTGCGCAGGTTTTCGAAATGAGACCCCGCATTCCTCACAAACGTTCAACTTGCATTCTGCATCATCTTCTTTCTCTATAAGTTTATCCTAAATACCACAAAATTTTCAACATTAAATGCTTGCAAGTCCAGCAATAACAACTAGTAGAGTCGCATAACTAAACAGAGCTCAATTATTAGTCCTGATCAACACAAAATCGCACAATATACCCTCGCATACAACAAAATCCATCAACAGCCTTCGATTGAACCACTAACAACCAAATACCTAACCGATTTCATCGGTATCTATATAATTTTAAACAGATCCGACTCTCCGAACAAGAATTTCCATGTCACATAAAGTTTATCAGCTAATTACAATATTCTATCACGAACAAGCTGTGGTTAAACACAAACCTGGTGGTGTGATTGAATATGAGCATTAATGAGGGTCTTCTTCGAGCGAACAATCCCACAGTACTCGCAAGTATAACGCCTTATATCTCTGAATATCGGGATTTCTCTTTGCGTTTCGATTCTTTCTTCTTCCATCGCGAGAGATTTTGTAGCTCAAACGAAGTAAGAGAGAAACGTTAATGGCAGCTTCGGACAAGCTGCTGCGATATAAATACTGCAGCGCTAGGGTTTTCAATATTACGTTAGATGGGTGGGCCAAATTTCGAGCCCAAATGTTGGGCCACAAATTAGAGACCCAAAGTGAGAAACTGAGAACAGGCATTTTGGTCCAGTTTAATTTAATCAATGAATTTTATTTTAACGAAAAGGCTTCAGCTATATCGGATGTTGTCTTCCCTTCTAGAGGTTGAGGGTTGAAGTCTCATCGAAGATATAGGTGGAATTAAAAGTAGTTTAGGAGTATAATAGATTTGCGAATTTTATTTTATTTTTGATATTTCTATTTTCATTAATTTATTAATTTATAAAACTTAAGTAAAGAATTCACTTTACCTATGGTTATTTTTATATGGTACAACTTATAAAAGTGTATTTTGTTTTCAATTTTAGGGTTTAATTAGGATTTGGTTCTAAATTCAAGATAGCTAGTCTTGTATTTTTATTTGTTGAATGTGTTTTGGTTTACCAAATGGTCTTTAGACTAACCTTACTTTAGACTAACATTATCAGGAGTTGACGAACAGATGTCCTTCAGCCAAAAGTTAAAGATCAACTCTCGTTATAGACAGAAGTATAAATTTAAGAATAAAATAACAGATGTATGGATAAATCGTTCTAAAAAAAATTTGTTGTGGTTTGTTGTTTAAACTTCTTAGCTTTCCATGGTAGTTGATTTTGATTTCATCAAACTTTCATGAGATAAGTTTATTTTCATGTAAATTCAACTATGTGAGTTAATAGCAATATACTTTGCGAGTGTGTATTAAATATTTATAGCAAAAGGTAAATAAGATACGTGTACCTTTTTTTGTTAATTAAATCATAAAGAAACTATGCATTATAACGATTGAAAATCTCATTCACCTATTCACCTATTTACGCGGAAAATCATATTATTTTACAAATGACAATTTTAAATTGTAAACTATGATTTTTACAAAAACAAAAAAAAAAAAAAAGAACCAAAAACTATTTTCACAAAAAATATATATATTATATAATAAAAGATAAAAATAAAAATTGTATCCTATTGACTAGTAGCGCCTATTTTCTCACTGGGTTCTGTCTCACCCATGGGACTATTGACATTGACAGGTGATGGTTTCTCACTCATGGGGACGTCATTGCCACCTGTCATGGGACTGGTGGGACCCGATGCTTTTGGAGAATTTGTGGTTGAGCCACGCGGTCTATTCAGAGCATGACAGCGTGGACAAAAGTATGTAATGAATGGGAAATCCTCTTTCCTTGCAAGACCTACAAAAATAAGACATGCTTTTAAGTATTATATTTTCTCTTTTTTTTTTAATTTAGAATGAATGGAATGAATTATTACATTTCCCTTTGTGGCAACCAAACACGATTTTTTTAATTTCGTCGTAATGTTCAATTCCATTCCATTTTTTGTTACTGTATACCAAACGCTACCTTAATCTTTAATGATAACAAAATTTAATCTAGTAAGTTATACAGGAGTGGGTTTTTTTTACATGCATAAAAAAACAATTTAATAGAGAAATTCATCAAATGAAGCTTTCCTAATTTAAGACCTAACTTTTTATAGATTTGCACTCATTTATTCTAACCTTCCATTTCCTAAGTGTGTCCTCATTTATTTTCTTGTCCATTTCCCACCATTTTCTCTAAATTTAAACAACATTTAACTTAATGGGAAATTGCATACGACATTTTGAACTAAAATGTTTAAACAACAAGACATGGGACATATTATGTCACATATCAAGCAGCTATAACTTTTGAAATTATTACTTTTTAGGTTAAACTACATTTTTGGTTGATTTTTAAGGTATCTTTTCTTGTTTTTAGTTTTTAGTTTTTATTTCACTGTTTCATAAAACTTTTCTCCCCTCTCACTCACCTCGTAACTTTCAGTCCATTAAACCCTTGCAAAATGCCCATTTTGCCCTCATCTTTTCCTTCAAGAACGTATTGATAATTAAAAAGCCTAAACAGTTTTTTTAAGGCTTTTAGATTTGATTTTTGTTTTACCATAAGTTAGAGTGTAGAAATGAAGTGTACTTACCATTGTGCATAAGGCAATTCCCACATATAAGTGCAAAAGATTGTGCAGGGTCCTCTCCAACAAGCAAAGCTGCAACTTTAGCAAGCCAACCCCCATCTTGAGTCCCTGAAGCTGAAGGGTTATGATGCTCAACAACAATCTGCTGAGGTGGCGACACCTCAGACACCTCATCTTCTAAATGCTGAATCATGTCCACATCAGATTGCTGCATTACATGGCCTCCCCCCTTTGATGTTGTAGCATCAGATGTATTTCTTTTCCTCAGCCCACAAGATGTCACAGGCTCAAAATCATTGCTCTTCCCTGTATCTTGAAGATCATGATGAGACTCCTCTAGGAACATTCTTATCCCTGAATCAGCACTCAATTTCGATGCAAGAACAGCTGCAGCAGCTGCTTTGGCTGCTGGATCAGGGTCATATTTCTGCCAATAAACATTTTTTAGGGCATTGAAATCTTTGCAATGATGATTAAGGAGATCACTATTGTGTACCTGAATTAGTTGCTGAGTGGTGTAGTAATTTGTTCGTTCTTTTAGTTCATCAATCTTTTCTTGTCTTTCAACCTGAAGGCTTTCTAGGGTTTTCTGATCTCTGCTATCACCTATTTGAGAAAAATGCATGAGAAAGTTCTTGCATTTTAGGAGATTATAGATGTGTAAGTTATCATCCTCATGATTAAGTTTAGGAACTTACACATTCTTGTGAAGCAAAAAAGTGCCCAATACAAAGCGGATGAGAAAGCAGGCAGAAGAAAGATTGGAAGAACTCGTAATGCCCTCATTTGCCAGTCTAAGTCCACAGATCTTGTTGTAATTATAGCGTAAGCCAATGCTACAACCTGTAAACAAAGGAAATCAACATGAAAACGAGAAGAGCCTGAAGAAAGTAACAGAAATTAGCGTGTAATGGAGAAGTGAGAAGGACCTCAAGGAAAACAGAAACGACGACTAAATTCCTAGCGGTTGACCTCCAACTTGAAGATCTCCTCTTCATTTTAGAAATAAGAGTGGCTTCTTCTTTAGATATGTATTGCAATCGTTTCTCAAAATCATCACCATGTAACCTAAACAAAAACAAACCATTCCAGACTCGAGACCAAAAACTCCTCTTCCTCTTTTTATTATCATCGCCGTCTACTTCAGCCATTTATCCTCTACTCAATTCCATAAAATATACAATCAGCACAATACGAATTGAAAAAACCAAATCACATGATTATTATTCAACGGAGACGTTGTCATCGGATCAAAACCCTAACAATGAAATACGTTGGAATCGGAAACTTACGTACCTGGAATTCAATAATCGACTTAAAAGTTCTGATTTCTGAAGAAGGCGCGAATGCAAAATCTCTCGCTGTAATTGAAGATGAAAGACAATTTTGATCGTGGATAGCAGTGATGTTTTTGATTGTTTCGTGATGATCAGAAAATCCTATTCGATCGATCGGCGATTGGAAGGGAAAACGGATTTAGTTGGGTCGGGCGTAAAGCATAAAAATTTAGCCGCGAAATCGAGGATAGTGGTGACGTTAAGAAAAGCATATAGATATCCCCATACTACCCCCTTCAACTTTTAAATTCTATGTTATATAGACAATTTTTGTAAAAAAACTGTATACAGACATTTTTTTTATAAATTATAAAGATGATTTTTGTAATTTATTCTTTGTATAGGGCTCAAAGATGCTAACATAAGAAAACCTTGAACATATAAAAAAAAATGCATGACATTTTCTGTAAATTACATGACACTTTTTGTAATGTATTTTCTAGGGGTATGCACCAAACCGCACAAACCGCATAAACCGCCCACACCGCACCAAACCGCACCGCATATGGCGGTTTAGAACTAGTGTGGTGCGGTTTGCGGTTTGAAATTTTGTTAAACCGCACTATGCGATGCGGTTTGTGGTTTCCAATTATTTTTTTTTAACCGACAAATCTAATCCTCCTAAGCTAACAACACCTATTCCACTTATGTCCACGATGGGACTTGAACCCTCGACTTCAAAGAAGGAGGACACCACCTGATACCGCACTTTATATATATATATATATATATATATATATATATATATATATATATATATATATATATAAAATACAAACACATAAAAATTACACAGAAGATACGAATTTGGTTTTATTACTAATGAATTTTGATATCACCATTTTCAATTTTTGTAAACAAATGTGTGATAGATTATTTATCTGATTGTCTAATGTAACAATGACTAGTATTGTTAAAACATTGGCAAAACCAACTTATCTTGATTCTATAACTAATATATTTATGTATAAATTTTATGTACATAATATTAAAAATACATATCCTTTTTCAAACCGCATAAACCGCACAAACCGCCTGCACCAAACCACACCACATAACGCGGTTTAGAACCTTCGTGGTGTGGTTTGCGGTTTTCTAAAATTTCAAACCGCACATGCGGTGCGGTTTGCGGTTTCGACTCGAAACCGCACCAAACCGCACCGCGAACACCCCTAGTATTTTCTATATATGAAACAAACCTGTCTGTCAATATATGAAATTTTTGTGGCCAAAATCTTAAACCTTAAAATTCTAGAGATAAAACCTACCAATATATAAAACTGTTATGTAGTCAAAGTATTAAACCTAAAAATTATAGGAACCAAATATACCAATATACAAAACTTGTATCTACCAATATTCAAAATTTTATGACCAAAATCTCAAACTCAAAAATTCATTATTCATTTCTCAATTCAAATTAGTATATATAATAATAAATATTCATTTCTCAATTCAAATTATAAGGATAGATTTTTTTTTTGTTTGTTTCGTTTGTTCTTATGAAACGAAGGCAAAGAGGTAACTCATGAACCGTGAAATGGAAAAGAAAAAAAATAGATGTTGTAAATGTTAGGTTTTCAAATTACATAGTTTGGGCCATCCAACGACGGTGAATACAAGACTTGCCTCTCCATGCTAACAAGCAAAGTGTTTAGATACATAACCACAACCACTGAATTGAGCAACTTTCACTTATTGAAAAATGGGTTTTCTTGAAAGCACAGAAAAGGATCTTTCTTTGGCCAGGTTTTAATTTATCCACCATTGATGGGATTGATCTTTGAAGATCATCCATTGAAAATAGAATAAGTTCTTTGTTGATGAAACCACAATATGGGATGTGTTTCTCCTTTAAATCAAAATATGCTCCAGCTTATAATAAAAAATTATTGTTATTCTCAAGATTGTTAGCTGAGAATTGTTGGGGTAACAACAAAACAAGTTAAGAACTTCAGACAAATATTAAAACACAAACTTCGGTAAACACACAAAACTTCTGAAAAACGTTAATCAAAAGAACACGATATTTAACGTGGTACGGTCAAGGTGACCTACATCCACGGACGAATGAGAGAGAGATAATTTTATTAACTTTCTGGAACAATTACAAGCACTTAAAATTGTATCTCACTTTGAGCTCTCACAAAAATATAGCAATTTACAATGATTGGGGCGTGAGCCTATTTATACTTGAGGGATCAAACCTAAAACCCTAATGGGCTCATTGGCCATAGGCCAATGAATGGTAACAACCAATCACAATCCGTCATGCAGCATCTTCTGGAACATTCTGGAGCATCATCATCTTCTACACATACTTGGATCAACATGGCACAACAAAGGAATCAATATGGTGCATCATGTACCAAGATGGTCCATGATGGCGCAACAACTTCTTCATGGCGCAATATCAACCCTAGATGGCATAACAGGGATATAAATGGTGCAAGAGCATCAAGTATGGCGCACAAACATCAATCTTGGAGCAACATCATCACCATGGAGCAACATGCACATGCATGGCGCAACAAGTAGCATCTTGGCGCAAGAGGAGAACAAGATGGCGCAAGAGGGAATGTCATGGCGCAAGAGCATCCCTCTTGGCCCATCCTTTTATCAAATGGCGCAAAAGGACTCCTTGTTGCTCCATATCCCTCCCAAGTGATCCAAACCTCTTCCAAGTGCTCCAAACCTCTTCTAGGTGCTCCAAACCCCCTTGTACATGATCCGTTCCTTTGGCACTTGATCCGTTCCTTTGTCTGATGATCCATTCCTTTCTAAGAAGACCTGTTCCTTTGTCACATGCTCCATGTGTTGGATTAGGTGTCTAAGGTCATAACTACTTTCGGTATGTACTTGATTTGATTATGAGCATGGTCCTTTTGGGTTGCCTTCACTCATGCAACTTGATAGGATGACAAAAGGAGAGATAGTAGAATTTATTATATGAATAATAAATTGGTACTCAAAATGGTTTTATTAATATATTACAAGATTAATATTTTATTTGGAAATCATATTATTAATTAGTAATTAATCAGAAATTAATCAAGTATTAATTTTGGGATAAAAGGAATTGATTAATAACTGGGGGGTGTTATGCAAATCATTGATAGTTGCATAAATGGGCTAATGGACTCCATAGAGTAAAGTGGACGAAATCCTATAGGAAAGCCCTATAGATTTCGTCCATGGGTTCTAAGGAAGGAGTTCATGGGCTGCTTGTTGCCTAAGTTAGGTATTAGGGTTTCCACCTGAAAACCCTAGCAGCCACAACTATATATAGAACCTCATACAAGGGGATTTTCGGCCAATGATTCTAGAAAGAAACCCTAGCCGAAAATCCTTCTCTCTCAAGTCATCTTGTTGCATTGGGTGTTTGTGAATCCATTAGAGGTGCAACACTTGGGGCACTAGGCTTTCAGAAGTCAAGATCAAGAAGGATTGTTCTTGTTATTGCTACATAACAAGTAATGTAAAGTTCCTAACCCTAATCATATGTGATTTTCGAATTGTGTATGCTGGTTCATAGGGTTATTGCTTTAGTATTCATAGTTGTATGTTCAATAGAGAAAAACCTAGATCCAAAGCAATTAGGGTTGCATGTACACCATAGGAATGTTGTTATGCTCAAAATCCATCAGTGGTATCAGAGCCTAGGTTGTTTTTCTATTGAATTGGTGCAAGAGTGGACTGCCAAAAGATCAAGAAATCGAAAATATGTGATGTGTGACTGTTGAACTCGACGAGTCCATGTATGGACTCGACGAGTTGCATGAACTCAACGAGTCCATGTATGGACTCGACGAGTTGCATGAACTCAACGAGGTCCATAGTGGACTCGACGAGTTGTCTGATCTGGTGCCGAATTTTTCGATTTTTTGGCCAGATTTTGATTTGGATAATTACCATAACTCGTTTTTTAATGCCTAAATTCGATTTTCATGATTGGTATGGGATATCCTTATCAAAATTGATGGATTTGGTTAAATATGGATAATATAATATTATTTTGATTCAAATATTTAACCTAGTAATTTTTAAAAAGTTTTAAATTACACCCTTTTGGTTTTATAGTTTAAATTTGAAATTAAAAAGTTTTAGTTTTTGAAAATTTAAATAGTTGAACCATAATATTTTGAAAAGTTTCAAAATTTGCCCTCAAGTTTTGGAATTTAAAATTTGATTAAGAGGTTTTAATTTTGAAATATTAAATTCTAAAACCCTAGTGCTTTGAAAAGTTCAAATTACACCCTTATGGATTTTATTAAATTAATTAAGTGTTTAATTAAAAGAGAGAATTAATAAATCCATAATAATATGGTTTAAGTATAATCAAATTAAAAGTCTAATTTATTAATAGATTAAACCACTTAGTATTTTAAATGTATAAAATACACCCTTATACGATATAAAATTAAAGGTCAAATATATTATATATGTATAAGTAAAAAGTCAGTGTTACCATTAGTAGGCCTCATTCACGAAGCTGGTCTATAAGGGGTGTTTAAGGAAGTGGCTTGTAAAATGACCGCCATTAGGTATCCATTCTTACCCACCGCACCCTTGACTAGTGGAGGGTCGTTAGCCGAATGGGTAGGATAGGACGCAAACTTCCATTATAAGTATAATGAAATACGAAGTAACTAAACGCTTTTATAAATTCCCAAATCTTAGTTACTTTAGGAAAAATGGGAATTTGGTGCTAATCCATGAAATTGCGCAGTGCACCTTGTTGGTCGTTAGTGGAGCGTGTGTGGTTAGCCGGCACACTAATATGGGAATAATGAAGGATGACAATGGGTAGCTCG